CCCGAATATAAACCAACCCATAGGGGCTTTTAAATAAAGCCCAAGAGTACTAATTAAGTGGAAAAGCTGAAAATTTACTATATTTGAAAATTTCATTCAACTAAATTTTATTATATAATAATTACTTTTAATAATTATTTTAGAGCTTACTTTAATGGTTTGATTATCTAATGTTTCTTTTGCAGTGCAACAAATTAGAAAATAATTGTAAAATAATATTACAAATTAGAAAATAATTGTAAACTAATACTAATAGAAGTGTTTTATTTATCCATTCTAAGGCTTTGTTTGTGCAGGCTTTCTTACTGTTTTTTAAATAACTTTCTAGTGCAAAAATTTCTTGAACTTTAAATTTTTATACTAAGAAACTGTTTTAAAAAGCAGTAAGAATGTCATCCCAAACAAAGCCTAACACAACCTATAGCATGCCATTTCTTTGATAATATTATATAGTAGTGCTTAATATATATATATTATAACTTATGATCTAATTGAAACAATTTCACTAATACAAGTTGTTGATTGATCCATCCTTAATGATTAACCCTTCTCATGATTAGTAGTGGGATTGCAATGCAAAAGGTTGGATTGTGTGGGTTTATCTTATTTAGCAGTGGTGAATGAAAATGTTGACTATCGACGAAGATGTTATGTGTTGAATCTGATTGTGTTGATCAATCAGATTGTTTTATTTCCTCGGAATTTCAAGTTTCTCTTGCTCGTTAGGAGGTTCATGGGATTTATCCCCTTCTTGGGTTTTGGTGCAAAGCATTAGGAAATTTCTTTTTCCATATAACACCTCGGCGCTTCTGCAAATCCGACCGCCCCTGTGCTGCATACCCAAGCCCTCCAGGGTTGAACAACATAGAGCAGAACGTCACAACTATATAGATGCGATGCTGCAACGGTGTAAGACAGAAGCTTGAGTGTCGCAGCACCCCAAACTAGCGCCGCAATATTACGAGACGGACTTGACGATTTTATTTCTCTTTTTTTTTTTAAGGTTGCGTCCCTTGAGGTTATTTTACTTGGTTTTCTCTTGTATTTTAAGTAAAAAACATTGAGAATGGTACATGTAAGAAGAGAAGCAAGAAGAGAGTGAGAAAGAAGATAGATCTATACTTATTTCTCCAAAATTTCATAGCGGTTTTTTTCGTGTGTTGTGGCTCTGTAGTTTTCTCCCTATTTTAAATTTTCTCATGTTAAATCATGGTGTCCTTTACTTCCTGTTGGTTTTACTTTCTTACCTGTTTTATCATTGTAGTGTTTACTCTTCATCATCTCCGGATGCTACTAGTTAGAGAGCAATGACCATAAGTTTTAGTCACAAAGGGGTGTTGGATGACAGATGACAACAGGTGTCAAAGTTGGCCTAAAGGCTCATATAGATCCGTGAGGTGGTAGGAGCAAGCCTCAACAAGTTATGTTCCATTTAGAAAGATAGAATCATTTATGCTAGTAGATTTTGAATGACTAACAGAAGAAGAAAAGAGCTGAGGTCTATAAGATAAAATGAGAGAGGGGAGGAAGTAAATAGATTATTTTATGTTTTATTTTTTTCCATTAGTGTTTTGTATTTTTATTTAGATGAAAATTAGACTGTTAAATTATTATTATTTTTTTATTGAATTCTTGCTCAAATGGTTATGGAACTCATCATTCCATTCTTTCTTTTTGCCAAATGCGTCGTGCTAGATGCTTTTGTTGAGATCTGTGTGGTCCTCATCTATCATATTTTAATATTTCTGTGCCCTTTTGCTGTAGATTTCTTCGGCTTTTCATATTTTTTGAGCTTATACGTCTAATCTTCATTCAGATATTTAGATATTTAGATACAAAACTTTTTTTTTCAAACAAGAAAGTCTACAGCAAAGTAATAATTTAAATAGATCATTTTCAATTGGATTAGAATATTAGTAAAAATTTTAAGCTCGTTCAAATCCAAATAAAATTTTTGTGATAGAATTTTTTATTTTTTAAATTTGTGATAGATTTGATGCAAATTCTCAAATAAATCAAACCATATTTAGTTTCTTCCCTCATTCAACAACATCAACGTATCAAGTCTTTATTTCCACTGTGGGGTTCTTCGATCTCTTATTTGATCGCTTCAGATCCCTAACCCCTTTGCATCATCCCCCATCTTGAACGGTGTAAATTTGATTCTTCACAAGCTAAGTTTTTGGCTTAGATTTCATTTGGGATAGCTTTAGGCTTAATTTTGGATGTCTTTTTTATTGTTTATAAAGCATATTTTTATTTAAAAAATAAAATTTTTTTACTAGAAAGCTGCTTTAAAAAGCAATAAAAAAACAGTCCCAAACGAAGCCTTAGATAACTGCTTTTTTCCTACTTTTAAGATATTTTTGTACTAAAATTTAGTTTTACAAAGCAGTAAAAAAGCCGTCCCAAACGAAGCCTTATTCAAACCTCAAACGGCTTGCACCAATTTCAATTGCAATCAATTTAAAATAAATAATTATACACTAAATTTTCATGTAATGTAAGTGTTTTTTATAACTAAAAAAAGTGTTAAAAAAGCTTATTAACTAATCACTGTTAATAGTACTGTTAGTATAATTCATCTTCATGAAAAACTTAGATCAGTCCTTTCAGCATTTCACTTTGAATTGACTGCAGCTCCCTTCAATTTTCACATTCCAATTTTTCAAATTTTTTTGACAATCTTATTAATTTGAGTTGATAGGACTAAATTGACTGCAGCTCATAATAAGTGTAGGAACCATTTTGATTAGCTACTCTACATGAACAAATCTTATCTGCATATTCTTGCATTACAGATAAGTTACCAGACTATGATTTTCACAGTATAGACTCCACGCTGATTTCAGAAGTGCTGAGACCATTAAGTTGCAGATAACACAACTAAAAGAAAAAGACAAGCTTTCCTAAGAAGGGCAATCTAATCATCAACTGGAATTATTGAATTAAAGCTTCTTAGTATGAAAACTTTCCAATAATACTTCAACAAACCTGTTCAAATAACCATTACATTACAGCAAAAGCCTTATCAAATCAGAATTCATGGTACAAAAAAGAATAAGCATAAACTATGGCTGCCTAACACCATTAGAACTTATCACAATATGTTTATACTGAAAACGTTAAGAGATGTCACAGAAGCTAAAAGGACAGCCACTGGCAAGGACAAGTTATTTTGCTTGAGCACTATACAGATCATTCCTTAGTAGTGCGTAATGATGCAGAGGCTTACTCTTACCCATTTGATGGAACATGAGACACTATTGTGGTATTGTGGATGAAATGGGCCACAGTATCCACAAAATAATCATAGTGAGCAGTTGATGATGACAGCCTTTCAAAGTGGAGTTCAACTCAGAGGCCACCAGCATTCTAAATGTATTTTTTGCTTCAGAAACATCACACATGATACCTTCCAATTAGAAAACTGTAAGGTGATTAGGATAGTAAATAGGTTAATTAAATGATAAAGTTAGCTAAGCTCAACTTACAAGAACACTTGTCAAAGAAACAAGTAATTCAGATCATCACAAGGGGTAATCACTTTGATTAGATTAGATGTGTGACTCTACTGTTGAACTTTTTTTGGTTCTGCTTAAGTGTCATTTCATTCAACCACAACAACATCAAGCTTTTGTCTCACTATATGGGGTCGGCTACATGAATCTTTTTTCTCCATTATGCCCTGTTAAATGACAAATTCTCGTTTAAATCTAATAAAGAAAGATCATTTCTAATATTTTCTAACCAAATCCTTTTAGGTCTACCTCTACCTTTCTTAACATAAGTCAAATCTAATACCTCTACATTTCTAACCGGGTCAGCGGAAGACCGCAGTTTTATGTGACTAAACCATCTTAGGCGACTCTCTCTAATCCTATCTTCCACGGGAACTACGCCAACCTTTTCACATATATGCTCATTTCTTATCCTATCTCTAAGGGTAAAGCCACTCATCCACTTGAGCATCCTCATCTCTGCAACACTTAACTTAGTATTATGCTTCTCTTTTAATGGCCAACATTCAACACCATAAAGCATTGCAGCTCTCACCACCATCTTATAGAATTTTTCCCTTAAGTTTGAGGGGACTTTTCTATCACACAACAAGCCCGACGCAATCCTTCACTTCAACCATCCAACTTGAATTCTGCTGATAATATCCCCATCTATTTCACCATCACTCTGAACAATAGATTCAAGATATCTAAAACGTATACTCTTATTAATGACTTGATTGCCCAAAGTCACAATTCCCTCACTAGGTCTATTACAGCTAAAATTACACTGCATATATTAAGTGTCATTTCATTGAATATAAAAATTTTAATAGGGTTGCAATCTATTAGCTTAAGCTTTTCAGCTCAAATAGGTGCAAGCATTGATAGTTCTTTTGACACCTGGCTCATGCTTACTGAAATAGGTTGTGGCATGGTAGCAGGAGAAGAAAAATTATCAGCCAATTAGCTCCGGCATCCTTATAGCCAATAAAACTGTTCATTTGTGCAAATAAAAAATATATTTTTAGGTAAGCTTCATCTCTCCGATGGACAAAATGGCAAGCATGCTTATGTTAGATGCAAAAGACTGAAATATTTTATCAGAAGCCTGTATCTTTATTGCCTTTATCAACATAAAAAACTTATAAGGATCTTTCATCAAATTAAACAAAACATAAAAGATCTCAATTTAGAAGGAACTATATGTGGTTTAGCTATCATTTGATGAAAAAGCAGATGATGCTAATCTTCACTTCACATTAATCTAAATTAAACATATAATGGAATTACCACAGGTGATCATTAGCCACCATCTTTATAAGATGTATCCAGAAGAAATCTTTTACATATAGTAATGTTAGATATGAAATAAAAAGAAACTTCTAGAGAGAGAGAGAGAGAGAGAGAAAGAGAGAGATGTTGCACTATAGCTTTTTTACCCACATGTTGAATAAGAAATTGTGAAGGAAGGAACATTAAGAGAAAGCTGTTTTCTATAGGGTGCTAAACAAGAGATTAGGAAGAACACAAATAAGAACCATTTATTACCTTAATCAATATAATGAGAGAGCAACTTGAATTCTTCATAGGATTCTATTAGATCCCATATACTGTATGCATATCATTGACAGGTGCAATGAAAACAAGAAGTCTCAATATTGCTCAAATTTTGATTCTAACAAAAAGCCTTATTCAGTCTCTGCCATCACTACCCCACATCAGATAAAATTCTAACAAAGCAATCAATTATTCAGCAAGATATTTTTTCTATGGAAACCTTCTTCATAGGAGTCAAAAGAGCATGCATAGCTTTTATGGCATCATTGTTGTAGAAGGAAGAGTTTCAAAATGCATCTCTCCCAAATTGCCTTTGCAATTTCCCTGCTCCTCCTTCCTTGTTATCTTCTACCTTCCAATCTCATCTTTGGAATGACCAAGGACCAGATTTCTCTCTTAGAATTCAAGAAGGGAATTATTGCTGATCCGACGCAAGCTCTCGCAGACTGGAATGAAACTAATCCTCTCTGCAATTGGTATGGTGTTGTCTGTGATCCGAATTCTGCAAGAGTGATCAAGCTTGATCTCAAGGACAAAAGTCTTGTTGGGACTATCTCTCCATTCATCTCCAATCTTTCAAGTTTAGAGCTACTTGAATTGTCTGATAATTCCCTTCAAGGTCCAATTCCTGTAGAGATAGGATTTTTGTCAAGTTTAGAACTACTTGGAATAGAAGGAAATGAGATAGAAAGTGAGATTCCTGAGAGTTTTGCCAAGCTAATGAAGCTTCGCTACATTGGCCTCAGTAACAACAAGCTCCACGGCAGGCTTCCTACTTCTCTCTTATACAACTGTACAAAATTGAGTTACATAGATCTCTCCAATAATTCCTTCACGGGATCAATCCCTCCACAGCTTGGAAACCAACTTCTTTTACTTGAGAACCTCCTTCTCTATCAGAACAAACTAACTGGTGACATTCCAGTCTCATTTTCAAATTTAACACAAATGGTAGAAATTGATCTTGAAGAAAATTTTTTATCTGGTATATTGCCATCAGATATTTTGAGCCAAATGCCTTATTTGCAGATACTTCATCTCTCCTGCAACAACTTCTCGAGTGATGAGCAGAATTCAAATCTCAAACCTTTCTTTAACTCCATATCAAATCTCACAGATCTCAAGGAGCTTGAGCTATCTGGAAACAATCTTGGAGGTAGGATTCCTTTGACAATAGGTCATCTAAGTGTCAATCTTACAGAGATTGATCTTGGAGATAATTTTATTCATGGAAGCATCCCAACAAATGTTTCAAATCTCTCAAAACTCATGCTGCTGGACTTTTCAAACAATTTTTTGGATCAAACCATTCCCAAGGAATTGATTCTTCTCCCCAATCTGCAAAGGCTTTGGCTCTCTAATAATTTTCTAAGTGGCCGAATTCCTTCACCTCCTCATATTCTAAATAGTATAGGACTGTTAGATCTATCAAAAAACAAGCTTTCTGGAGCCATCCCAACCTCTCTAGCAAACCTAACTCAGCTGAGAACCCTTATCCTTAATGGAAATTCTCTTTCAGGACAGATACCTTCAAGCCTAGGAAGCACGAAGCTAGAACTTCTTGATTTGTCTCACAATAGGCTTAGAGGAATAATACCTGCAGAAGTTGCAAGTTTGAGCTCAATGGAATTTTACTTCAATTTGTCTCATAATTTTCTAGGAGGAATGATCCCCATGGAGCTGGGCAATATGGACAAGGTCAGAGCGATAGATCTTTCGTCAAATAACTTCTACGGAAGCATTCCGTCCACTCTTGCAGGCTGCGAAGTCGTTGAGCTGCTGAACCTGTCGAATAATAGTCTTCAAGGTGCAGTTTCTTCATCCTTGGGCCATTTACTAAGCTTCCAATCCTTAGACCTCTCATTCAATTTTCTCTCAGGTGAAATTCCAGCCTCTCTTCAAAAATTCTCCAGCCTCAAGCAACTCGATCTCTCATTCAACAACTTCAGTGGAGAAATACCCACAGGTGGGGTTTTCGACACATTAACATTTGAATCTGTTGAAGGAAACCATCTCTGTGGACAGCTTCTAGGGCTTCCTAGTTGTAAACATGGGGCTCGAAGAATTATAAACTCGAGAAGATCCTTTGCCCTGCTCATAATTATCGTCTCCCTGTCTGCTTTCCTCCTTACAGTCATAGCAGTGACTGGTTGCAGGAATATCAAAGCTGCATTGATTAAGGCTTTCTACACTGTTTCAAGTAAGTCAGTTCCTGATCTGACAACAAATTACCCGAGGATTACATACAGAGAACTTTCGGAAGCAACAGGAGGATTTCAGGAAGCCAGACTGATTGGTTCTGGGAGTTTTGGGCGTGTGTATAGAGGAATCTTGAGTGATGGAACTGTGGTTGCTGTAAAAGTTCTTCAATTACAGAGCAGTAACTCCACGAGTAGCTTCAACAGAGAATGTCAGGTTCTCAAGAGGATTCGCCACAGGAATTTAATTAGGATCATAACAGCTTGCAGCCTTGCAGACTTCAAAGCTCTGGTTCTGCCTTTCATGACTAATGGTAGCTTGGAGAGCCATTTATACCCGCAAGAGCAGAATTCAGGGTTCTCGCAGCTGAGCTTGATGGAATGTGTAAGTATCTGCAGTGATGTTGCTGCGGGTATGGCATATTTACACCATCATTCTCCAGTTCAGGTTATTCACTGCGATTTGAAGCCAAGTAATATTCTTCTCAATGAGGACATGACTGCTCTTGTATCAGATTTTGGAATCTCTAGACTAGTCATGACCGTTGCAGAGGGGAATCCAGTTTGTGAGAACACAACAAATTCAACCGCAAACCTGCTCTGTGGATCAATTGGGTATGTCGCTCCTGGTAAGACTTTATCTTTACAATTAATATGTTGACTTCTTTCTGATAAACATGACAATTTCTGTATGAAAAAAGTAGAAAATGAAACAGGAAAATTGAAGATTCTTTGCATTTTTTTTAATGAAAACTTTCTTCAATTTGTAAAACCTGCTACAATTAGTTAACAGATATGCAAAGATAAATCGGCATAATCTGTTAACTAGATAAGTTTTTCCTCATCTCTTCCTGCTGCCAAAACTCAGCATTTCATATAGCTTTTCATAAAATATTTAGCTCAGACATTTATTCTTTAAATATTCTCTGATATCAAGCTACATCATCAAAGTCAATCCGGTTTGCTTGCCCTTGCAACATTGATATTTTAGTGTGAATAAAGTTTAGGAATGAATAAACAAGGTAACTTTTTTTCATAAAAGCAAGAAACAAAACACCTTGACGTCGGGTATGGTGCTAGAAGGCAAAGCCACCTTGTTCTCTCAGAAATAAGAGAAATTATTCTATGCCGAGATCAGATACAGAACGTCATCCGGAGACCAATCAAAATGCGCCACATAAACGATACCGAGCGAAGAAGTGGCGTGGCGCATTCCGGTTGGCCTCCGGACGGCATTTGGCATCCACACATAATAATAGGGCCAGAAATAGAAGTTGAAATCAATGTTAAAGATTTTGCACCAACATATAAAATGTTGAACTATATCAGAGAAGCTCAGGAATGAAAATAACAAAAAAAAAAGATAATTATGGTTAACTTTTGGGATCTTAATTATAACAAAGTTGATTTTATATTCTATAATAACAATCCAAAAAATAATAATAAAGCCAACACAATCTAAGAGACCACAAGCTAAATATGCATAAAAAGATGGTTGATGATTGATGTTATATGCTAGGAAGAAGCAGTCAGATATTTATGAATCTCACTTTGAAAAATATGTTTGCATGGAACATATCAAGAGTATGGATATGGTAGAAGTGCATCAGCAAAGGGAGATGTCTACAGCTTTGGTGTACTTGTGCTTGAAATGGTCACAAGGAAGAGACCTACTGATGAAATGTTCACAGAAGGCTTAATCCTGCCGAAATGGGTTAGAAATCATTTTGCTAATCAGCCAGAAAAGATTATCAACTCATCTGTAATGCAACAGCTACAGAATCAGAGCCAAGAAATAAGAAACATGTGGGAAGTTGCAATCATAGAGATGATTGAATTAGGGCTTCTTTGCACAGAAGAGAACCCTTCCGTGAGGCCAACACTGATTGATGTTGCAGATGACTTAGAAAGGCTTAAAAGATATTTAGGAGGAGATAGTACTGCCACATTCACATCCTCTCATGGTATATCTTCATCAACAATTGCAGAACAGTACTGGTAAACTTTAGTCTTGTTCAGTTACACAGGCAGGTAGCTTTGCTTTCTGTAAACATTTGAAGTGTCAGTTGATCCAAATGGTTTTACTGAAATGTATACTGATGAATGCCTCCAAGTTTCAGTTTCTATTCTAAGAGAGGCAGTTAGTATACTTTTTGTATTTTTCTTCTGTATGTTTGATTGAAGCAATGTGTTAGTAAAGTTCATATATATCATAAAGATATGGAATATTAAAATGATGAGACCTAAAAAACTAAGATTACCTAAGAATTATTTAATTATCTTCTTAAGCACTAATATAATGCCCTATAATAGGTAAGGTGTGAGGAGTCTAGGCATAAGAGGGGGGTGGAGGTGCTGAAATCAGTGTGCACAAATGTTTTTAGAAATTTTGTTGAAATCATTCTGAAATGAAATTCACACATTAAACATGCAAAATATAATTAATCAAACTTATGAGTATATTTGTTAAATTATACAATATATCATTTGTTGAACCCTAAACATCAAACCACGTGCAAAAAGGGTAAAATCGGCGATCCAAACAATGCGTGCGTCGATGCGACGCATCACTTGAAGGTTCAAACGACCTCCGATTGCCAAACGGACTTGGTCGTTACAATCAGGATGTCTAGTTCACCTAAGAGGGGATCCCTCGCAGTCAAATCGAACATGATTGATCCAAAAGGATGACTGACACTCAAAATTGGCACGCGATATCGCCCAAATAGCGTCCGATCTCCAAACTGTTTTCGCCATTGCACCTAGAACATCATCAACACTCAAAAGTCATTGTCAACCTATTCAATTGGGGTCATCCGAGGCGATGTCGCACAAACCGAAAAAAATGATGTGCGATATATATTGCTCAAATGACATCCAAAAATAAGGGTTGAGATCCTGTCTCTATTGGAGAATGCAAAAGAAAAGATAAGATACCAGATGAATAAATATTTTAAATTAATGATTATGAATTAATTAAGTTTTTCTAAGTAAACTCTTTTTTATATTTGATGTGGATCAGAGCATATGCATTCTTAAATTTCTGTCAAGCTTGTAGGGATAGAAAAGGAGGTTTATGGCATTCCTACAATTATTATATCTCTATAGAACTCAGAACTCTAAACAGCCTATATTTAGGCATGCAAGAGTTTCATTCCAACACTCCTAATTATTCCAATATTCCTCCGTCGAGATAATATATCATACAGAATTTTAACTATATATGGACATTATATACATTAAATTAAGAACGAGAATTATTAAAACTATTTATTATTCATTCAAAGCATAAGAGTTTACATTAGTACTTGTAAAAGATTCACATTATCAGCCCAAAACTATAAAATTAGCCAACCATGAAATAAAGGAAAGTAAACTAGATTTTATCACTTGCATATATAAGAGAAAGTACAAGAGTAAAAGTGAAATCAGATATCACCCGGATAGTATAATGCACTCTTCGCACTCTTTTCTCCTCTAAATTCCTAATTGCTTACAATAGATAGACTGACTATCTCCTAAATGAAGTATATATTTTCTCTTTTCGGCCTCCCTTAGACTTAACTCTAAGGAGGAACTATACTTAAGCACACAATACTCACTAAATATTACAAACCCATAGAATTTTGACAAAACTCTCACTCAAATGAATTGAAAAACTATTTATACTTATACAAAAATGGATTCACGCATCACACGGCATGACATGGTGGTTCCACAACATTATAGAATGAATTATTGCCTTGACGCTACTGGGCTTGCTTAGCTGTAGCATTAGGCTAATCCGGAGAATCTAATAGATGAACTGATGCATAGCTTAGTTGATTTGGCGCGGCTCCATCGTTCATCAATTTCTCCATTGTGGCGCTAAAAAGTTGAGCACTGCGACATTGAATGTGTAATCTGGCACTATGGCTTTGTTCGATTCAGCGCTTCGGCACTCTAATTCCTGAGACTCAACTGTTGCAGTGCTAATTTCTAACATTGTGGCATTAAGAAGCATCGCAGTGCTGACCTTGGTTCCGCTGGGGTGCTGAATTAATTGTCATCTTTTTTAGTCTCTGACATTGTAATTTCCTGATATGGTGCCATGCACTATGGATGCTACGGTGATGGTAATTGGAGTGCTATGATGCATATTTAACATTTATGATTTTTTCTCTTTTTTTTTTGAGAAATTTCTGCACAACATCAACTAAAAAAAATATTTTTATTAATATTTAAGATAGTTAAATACTACATAATTTATTTTTACCACTTATTTACATGTCCCAAGATCTACATTAGAATAATTGCATTTATCTTTCATTTTAAATATTTAACTAGACCTTACCAATTTCTTATGAATAGCGAAAAGAACTATGCATGCTATATGAAGCCTCATATCATATTATCCTTACATTTTCTTGAAAACATGTAAAAGTACGTAATAAGCACATAACCTAGTAAGTAATCAAAATCTTACAACTGAAATCAATGCAAGGTAAAATAGAACAGTATGCTATAAATCATATAAAAAAATGTATGTATCAATGTATCTGCACTTATTATCTATATCAATAATAGGTCTATAATATATCATATCTCAGTCAATTCTATTTTATTCTTCCATGATAATATATATATATATATCAATTATTAATCTATAACATATCATATCTTAGTTAATTTTGTTTCATTCTTCCATCATAAACTTTAATCAATTAGTTAGTCAATCAAGATTTATCACTCAATCAATTTCATTTAATCTTATCATCCATTCATCTCACATCAATCTATCAGTTACAATCACAATATCACTAGCAATATTTTGTATCAGTAATAGAGCTATATCAATAACAATATTAGTATTAGTAATTAATATCAATATCAAAAATTCAGTAATCAGTGTCAATATCAATAATAGTAATCAATATCAATAACAATATTAATTTCAGTATCAATATTGATATTTGACATTAAGATGAGGGTATCTTGAGTTTATAGGTATCACGTGAAATCAATTATATCAATGAATTAGTGTTATATCGAATATTCATGTGAGAGTATCTTGCTCTTTCACGTATAACTCCCAATCAGTCATCTCTTATAACTCTCAATTAATATACTCCTTATAACTCATTAAATCACATGAATCAGTCGTCTGGACTTCTTATAACTCTCAATCAATCTCTAGCTCCTTATGACTCCCATTAGTGAATTACATAAATTAGTAGAGTATCATATAAGGTTATCATATCATATATCTGATAGCAATCAGTAAATCATTTTAATAGTGCAAATAGTATCTTTCAGTATATATCACTCATATTAGTACATTCGATTTTCAGTATACTTTTTCTCCACTCATTCACATAAAAATTTAAATACACAAATTTATCAGGTGAAAAGGTAATAAAATCATATCAAATAGTTCAAGATGATCAAATTTATAACATATTAAAAGTTAAACGGTGAAAGCTTATGGGATCAGGAGATAATACATTTTTGGTAGATTTAAAAGTGATAAAATCCATAGAAAACAAAATTATTGAAAACATGAGTAAGAGGTTAGTCACATACAACGAATAAAATAAAATCCATAACAAGAATAAAAGATAAATATGAACTATAGACATTTCTCTCTCCTTCAATTTTTTTCTGACCATAAAACTAAGTGAGGGAGGTGGTTGGTGAGGAAGAGATATTTATAATTAAAAATATCTAGCACCATAGTTCTCTAGTTCATATTTTTATATTTTTCAATAAATCATTTAACACTTTTGGGTTATTACAGTTGTTGGTCTATCTACTCATTATGCATTTTTTACATATTTATAGGTAAGGGAAAGACCCTGTGATATAGGCTTTAGACAGCATGTGTAATTCTTTTTTTACACTTTTAGTTTATTTTATAGTCATGATGTACGTATATAAATTGACTGGTCCTTTTGAATCATGGCTATTATATACATAACATTTTGGGCTTGTAATAAGGACACATATTAATAAATAAAAATGCATTACCTTCTGTTGTTTTATCTGAATTTGTAAGCTCTTGTTAAATATAATTAACTAGTTAGAAAGAATGATAAAATTCTTTTAAATTTTGATGCTGGTGCGTGACATTATACATGCTTGATAATTTGGCCCTAGTGCCACTACGACTATACTAATTCACCATCTCACGTGCACCTTCGGCTTATTAGTTGGCCTTTTCTTCGATGTCATTCACGCACCACCAATAAATCTATCAATTTGGTTGATCTCTTTACCTTAGAAATGGCCATCCCCATCTCTTTTCTACAAACCACATTGGTGTCGATTCAAAAGGTAAACTATTGTTTTGATTAAAATCATTTTATGTGGGGAGCTTGGTGATGATTTTAGGTTGTTTAAATGATTATAAAATCATTAAGATACTTTTTCTTTTGAAAGCTTTCATTAGATTGAGTTCATTAATTTAAATCTAAACTTTATATAATGCAAGGTTTCGAATCATTTAAAATAATAAAAATATCTTTACATTTCTAACCTTATTAAATTTCATAAATCAAAATTTGAGTTGTGAAAGTTAGGTACATATAATAGTTGAAATGGGAAATTTTATGGAGTTGTCTAGAAAATTTTTCTACATATCTCTGAGTTATAATCATTTCACTTGCCAAATCTCAAAAATCTAAAATTGATTTTTATGGATTAGAGAACTATATAGTTAGTAATATTATAATTAGCCTACTATGTACACATATATACACAATTGCACAAGTACTCACCCATTTTTTAATTTATCTATTTTTCTTTTAGGATTTACAATATATCATTAACTTCAATGCATAAGCACTTTGGGATTTTTTTTGTAATCTTTAAAATGAGCATTGTATTAAAAAATCAAAGAAGTTGCCCTTATTTACAAAGTAATAATTGTTTCTGTGTACCTTTTCACCATAGTACATAATCTCACTTCAATGCTTCCTAAAAATAACTTTATTACTTTCCTCTACGTTTTATTGTTGTTTTATATCAAATGATTTCATAATACCAGGTTGTGATGACAAGTAGGCATTTATATGACAATGTTTTATGATGTTAAAAGTTGTTATGTTGATACTTGGAAAAGTAAACATACTCATCAAAATCCCAAATGTTGTATATAAATGGAATATTCAATTAGCATCT